ATCCTCCCTCATCCTCACTTGCCTTCCCTCCCTCCCTCAATCTTCTTCAGGGCTAGTCGGTTTCGCCTGGTCGGTTTCGCCCGCGGTTGGTCCCGCTAGGTCAGTTCCGCCAAAACGGTTTTGCCCGCGGCTGGTTTCGCGGGCGTCATTGGTCGTTGTGGTCGCCTGCGTTCGTTCGTCGTCGCGGGTGGCTTTGCCGTCGTTGGTGCTTGGTGCGCCGTCGTTCTCGTCGTCGTCATCGTCGTCGTCGTCTTCGTCGTCGCTCGTCCCGCGTCTTTCGTCCTTCGTCCTTCGTTCTGCGTCCTTCGTTCTCCGTCCGTCGTCCTCCGTCGTCCGCCGCCGCCGCCGCCGCCGCCGCCGCCGCCGCCGTCGCCGCCGCCGCCGTCGTCGTCGTCGTCGTCGTCGTCGTCGTCGTCGTCGTCGTCGTCGTCGTCGTCGTCGTCGTCGTCGTCGTCGTGGCCGCAATTCGTCGTCGTTCGCAGTTGTGGTCGTCCCCTTTCTGTCCCGCTCGTCAGGGTCCGCACCGGGATCGTCTGTCGGCAGTGCCGCCCGCCCGCTTGAACGTCCCGCCCGCCCGACCCGCCCCTCTCAGGGTTCGCCCGCCCCGGCCTGTCCCTCTGCCCCACCCGCTCGCCCGGTCAGGCCCCGCCCGCCCGACCCGCCCGTCGGCGTCGGCCCGCCCGACCGCTCCGCTCTCCGGGGCCCGCCCGCCCTGGCCCGCCCGTGCCCGCAGCCCGCCCGCTTCGCTCGGAGCGCCTGGCGAGGACGAGGGGCGGCGCCCCTCGCCGTCGCCGCCCTCCGCCTCTCCGACTGCCCCTCCCGGCCACCTGGCGCCTCGCCCCCCTCGGCCGCGGGGAGGGGCGGGGGCGGAGGGAGGCGTGGGGAGGGCCAGCGAAGGGAGGAGGGTTCAGATTCAGATCGCCCACACCCTTCCCTCCCACCGCCTTGCCTCCACGTGAGCTTGGCCACGGGCCCGTGGGGGGGGGCGGGGGGAGTAGAGGTGACGCAGAGAAGGGGCGGAGGCGGGCGGAGGCTGGGAGCGCGGAGCGGCCAAAGGTCCCCCCCCTGGGGGCGCTCTTCATCGCGCGATTCGGCCGTGGCGTTGCGGAGGTGCCGGGATCTGCCCGCGACCGCTGCCTCTTCGCGGACGTACCAGCAGACACAGCCCACATGCCGAGGTACAGACCGACACGTCCACGAGAAGTGTGTGTGTGTGTGTGTGTGTGGGTGCGCGCTTGTGTGTTTGTGTTTGTGTGTGTGTGTGTGTGTGTGTGTGTGTGCGCTTGTGTGTTTGTGTGTGTGTGTGTGTGTGTGTGTGTGTGTGTGTGTGTGTGTGTGGGTGCGCGCTTGTGTGTTTGTGTTTGTGTGTGTGTGTGTCTCTGTGTGTATGCAGTGTGCGACGCTTGTACGCTGCGCTATCGCTCCTGGGGCTGCAGGTCGCATCTCGCTGGCTTCAGCTGCATTTCTGCTCGAGTGCTGGCGGTTGCCGCAGCCTGGTGGCGGGTTCGCTGTCTTGTTTTCTTCACCTGATTGCCTCTGGTCGGAGTGGTGCGACCTTGAGGAGACCCGTACAGTTACTATATCGTCCAGGTGTTTGCTTTTTGCTTTGGCTCCCATCCATGATTGACTCTACATTTGCTGCGGTGGGTTTGCCCTTCAACGGTGCCGCTCATATTGCTCGCGCGCATGCGCCGTCCACCACCTATGGATTTGCCTGTGCTGTCCACCACCCATGTGCGTCATCGCGTGAGGCGTTGGCTGTCGCGGTCGCTTGACTTTTGTATTGGATGTATGCCTCGAGCGCGTATTTTTTTCGCGCTACTTGCACCTGCACGGCGTTCTGTCGTGTTCGTTGCTTGCCTGGCCGCTGCACCTGTCTCGACTGTGCTTGTCTCACGCGGCAGTTTACTGGCTGGTCTGGCAGCTCTACAGTGCAATTCTTTCAACTGGCTAATTCACTAGATTGCTGCCTGCGCTTCAACTCCTGGCGTCGAGCTACGCTCCGCGGGATGCTTGGCCGCTGCACTTCGGCTCTACAGACCACCAGTCTGCATGGTCTTGGCTGGACTCTTGCATCACGGCGCGTTCGACTAAGTTCGTTCGCAATTGGCACCTCCATCTGCCGACCTCGCCTGAGCTTCCTCAGCGCCGCCGACTTATTGGTGTGTGCGTGTGCGTGCTTGCCCGCGCCTCAACTCCTGGCGTCGAGCTACGCTCCGCGGGATGCTTGGCCGCTGTACTTTGGCCTTGCAGTGCATCATCTTGTCACCACCGCCGCGAATCTATCTGCATGCTCGTTGCTGGTTTCTTTCACGGCGGCGCGTTCGACTAAGTTTGTTCGCGCTTGGCACCTCCATCTACCGACCGCGCCTTAGCTTCCTCTGGGCCGACGGCTTACGCGTGTGTGTGTGTGTGTGTGTGTGTGTGTGTGTGTGTGTGTGTGTGTGGGTGCGCGCTTGTGTGTTTGTGTTTGTGTGTGTGTGTGTGTGTTTGTGTGTGTGTGTGTTTGTGTTTGTGTGTGCATTTGTGCGTGTGTGCGTGTGTCAGTGTGTGCGTGTGTGTGTGTGTGTGTGTGTGTGTGTGTGTGTGTGTGTGTGTGCGTGTGTGTGTGTGTGTGTGTGTGTGTGTGTGTGTGCGCGTGTATGTGTGTGTGTGTTCGTTTGTGTATGTCTGTGTGTGTGTGCAGTGTGCGACAGTTGTACGGTGCGCTATCGACCGTGCTCTGTCGCAATTCGCTTCCCTTTGCTGCTCGCGCCTGAGGACCCGCTTCGCTGGTGACTTACACGTGTGCGCGCGCGCGTGTGTGTGTGTGTGGTTGTGTGTATATAGGTGTGTTCTTTACAGGGGGGCAGGAAGCAGAAGGGGGAACCAGGATAAGGGGAGGAGAGGGACCAGGACGAAGACCGGGCGATGCCTCGATGCGGCGCGATCCTCCGACCCCACTCTGCTCGCACCCCACGTGGGAGGCTCCCAGGGGGACGACGAGGAGCAGAGGCAGCAGACAGGAGGTCACCACCCACCAAACCACCCCAACCCAACCCGAAGGCCCAAATTTACCCTCGATTTATAGTGGGGGGGGGGTCGGGAAACATAGAAAAAACACGCGTGGAACCCTTACCCCCCCAACCCGAAGTTCGGGTCTTCGGGTTGGGTTGGGGTGGTCTGGTAGGCAGACAGGGGGCCACGAGAAGGTGGGAGCTCCGAGGCACCGACACCTCGCCGAGCGGCACGCCGAGCTGGGGCACCGGGTGCCGACTGGGGGCGCCCGCCCGCAGAGTGCCGAGGGACGTCGTCGTCGTCGTCGTCGTCGTCGTCGTCGTCGTCCCTGTCGTGATCCACCGTGTGCCTCCTCCGCCTCCTCCGCCTCCTCCTCCTCCTCCTCCTCCTCTTCCTATTCCTCATTCCCTCCCTCGTGTCGTCGTCGTCGTCGTCGTCGAACGACCCCACCTCAAGAGGCGAACGCAGGATGAGGGAGCCCACTAGCTGCTCGCTGGCGTCGGGGGGGTGCCCATCAGCGGCACAGCAGGCTTACCAGCAGAATTATCGTCGCCATCGAACTTCCGACGAGCAGGCTGTTGGGCAGCCAGACCGTCGTCATCAATCTCTTCATCAGTAGACCGCTCAGCAGCAATAGCTTTACCATCGATCAATCCGCGAGCAGGCCTCTTAGCAGCATGGTTGCCTCTATCGTGCTCGTCAGTAGCAGGCCGTTGAGCAGCGAGCTCTCACCTGTTATCCGAGAGTTTCGGCGGGCTTCCCGAGGCTTCCCGGAGTTTTCTGGAGGGCATTCCCCTCGTCCTCCCACTCCTCCCCTCCTCCGTCGTCCTCCCACTCCTCCTCCCACGTCCTCCCACTCCTCCCCTCCTCGTTTTCCCAGTCGTCCTCCCAAGTCCCTCCTGGAGGGACCTTTTTACCCTCGTCCTCCCACGCCTCCCCTCCTCCGTGCGCATCCCGGCTCGAGCGCCGGAGCCGCCCGACGCGCGGCCCGCTCCAAATGGAGGGCCCGGCCGCGCTGGCGCGCGGGCGCGTTTGGCGCATGGGCCCGTCGCGAGGATTCGGGCAGTGTCACGGGGGGTTCACCCCGAGAGTTACGGTAGAGGGAAACAATTATTGAACACTCCCCCTCCCCCCCAACCTCAATGTTGGCACGCGCGGGGGAGACTGCGGTCGAAGTGCGTCTCATCAGACCCACTGCCAACCTTGAACATTGGGGGGAGGGGGAGCCGTTGACAGATGAATGCGGCATCATGAGTGTTCGCTAATTTGTTCCGAGGCCTGTAAGTCGGGCCGGTTCCCCTACAGGAGGAATATCCAGAAACAGTCGAAGCATACTATGGGGACGATTGTTGGACTACTCTTGATCATTTTGAATATTATATAGGAAACTATTTATCATTTTTCGTCCAAGATCCCCCTGTAGGGGGACATGCCCGACCTAAGACGAGAGGGGGTCACCAGTTACTGTTGGCAGTCGATGTTCCAGGATCAAGGCTCGAGGAGGTTTTCGGACGTTTAGAGTGGTTTTGGAAGGCTCTGGATTGTTCTCTGGGGCCCACCGCTTGAGAGAACATGGCGCTTCCGCGAGGAAGTGCCGACCCCCCCAGTCGTGATGCCCCTTTCGGCGGCTAGCCCTGGGTTGGAGTGAGATGGGGCGGGCTTTCTCAGAAGGCTCGGAAATGCCCCCCGCTTTCTGAGAAATTTTCTAAGCCTTCCCTGAACACATTGGAATTTCAGAAGGCGCGAGGGCTTTTGAGAAGCCCCGTCGCCTTCTGAGAAGGCCTGGCCCCTTTCACTTCCCCCTCTGGGCTCGCCGCCTACGCACCCGTGGCACCGCCCCAAGGATGATCGTGTACGAGAGCGGCCAGGTCTGCAACATCTTCCAGGTCGCGGGCAGCGTTTCTCTGCAGGCCCTGAGGATAGCTGTCCCCAGCGGCCTCCTGACGGCCGTGCTCACGTACTGTGCCCACGGGTTTGGTGCCGTCGACCTGGATGTCGGTTTCATGAAGAACAACGCCATCTGGCGCGGCTTCACCTACCTGGTGGGCTTCCTGGTGGTGTTCCGCACGTCGCAGGCGTACAGCCGGTTCTGGGAGGCAGGGCTGGACCTAAACAGTTTTTCGGTGATTTCGTGGGCCGTTTTCGTTTCGGCTTCGTTTTGCGGTAAAGGCGGATCCGAGACAAAAGCGAGGGGAAAAGAAAACAAAGCGAGAGCGAAAAGCACCGTTTGGGTCCAGCCCTGCTGGGAGGGGTGCACAGCCACCCACAGCATGGGCGCCGAGTGGTTCGACGCCTGCAGCTCGCTGGTGGCCTTCAGCTTGCACGCCCCGCCCGCTCTGCACCTGGAGGTGGCGGTCTTTCAGAACCTGCTGGTCCGGCTCTTCAGTATGCTGCACTCGGCGGCGCTGGGGGACGTCGAGGACAGCAGCGGCGGCCTGGACATATCCGCATACCGGGCCTTCCAGATGGAGCTCATCGACGCGGCGGGAATCGACGGGCAGAGCCTCGACTGCATCAGGACGTCTCACTCCAAGGTGGAGCTGATCTTTCATTGGATCCAGCAGCTCATCGTCGAGAGCGTCGGCACCGGCGTGATGTGCATACCACCGCCAATCTTGGCGCGCGCGCTGGAGGAGATGGCCAGTGGCCTGGTGCACTTCCACCACGCGCTGAAGATTTCGGTGGTCCCCTTCCCCTTCCCTTATGCGCAGACCTGCGACATCATGTTGTTGATGCACTGGATGATGGTGCCTCTCATCGTCTGCCAGTGGGTAAGCAAGTGGTATCTTGCGTTCATATTCGCTTTCATCCAGGTTTTCACCCTGCAGGCCCTCAACCTGATATCAATGGAGCTCGAGCACCCGTTCGGCACCGACCCGAACGATATTGACGCGGAGCAGATGCAGAAATCGATGAACGCACACCTGCGCCTGCTGCTCAGGGAGTCCACGAAGAGGACCCCCACCCTGCGTCACGACGACCAGAAGGCGCTCCTCTTGCGCGTGGCCGAGCCCGACGAGGGCACTCTCTGCTCTTTCTTCGATGTCTGGATGGCCCTCGACGACGACAACACCGTCTTCCGCCGCGGCGACCCCTCTGAGGAGTCCGGCAGGCGGCTCTCCTCCCGGCAGTCCAAGAACTCTTGGCGGAGCAACCTGTCCTCGCGCTCCAAGGACAGCGCCCCCGTAGAGCCAAAGCCGCTGATGCGGATGCCCCCCGAAGTGGAGCGCGAGTTGGCGACGTCGAAGATTGCCCTGGGCCTGCAGGCAGACACGGATCCTCGCGACCAGAGTCCTCATGGTTTCCATCGTTCTTGCTTCCATCGGCCTCCCCCTCTCGTCGCCACGGCTGGTCGCAGCTCGAGACATTGGAAAGAGCTTGTTCTACCGTTGCTGGCAGCAAACCGGGGGGGTCACTGGGGGTTTCCAACCCGTCCCCCCTCCCCCCCTCGAAAACTGGGAGGGGGGGGTCACTGGGGGTTCGAACCCCCCCCCTCCCCCCTCCCCCGTCCATCATGAAAAGGGGGGGCGTCACTACCGGTTCGAACCCCCCTCCTCCTGGAAAACAAGGGGGGTTCACTACCGGTTCCAACACCGCCGCAACGACTCCCCCTCCTCTCCAACTCTGGATGGGGGACTGGTGGGGACACTGGTTGGGACGGTGGTAGGGATGGTGGTGGGGAGTGGGGACAGTTTGGTCAGTGGGACAGTGGTGGGGACAGTGGTGGGAACAGTGGGGCCAGTGCGACAGTGGTGGGGGGGATAGTGGGAACAGTAGCGGGGACTGGGGACAGTGGGACAGTGGTGGGGACAATGGGGACAGTTGGACAGTGGTGGGGACGGTGGTGGTGGGGACAGCAGTGGAACAGTGGTGGGGACGGTGGTGGTGAGACAGTGGTGAGGGCGGTGGTTAGGACGGTGGTGGGACAGTAGTACAGTCGGGGACAGTGGGACAGTGGTGGGGACAGTGTGGACAGTGGGGCAGCACAGTGGGACAGCGGTGGGGACGGTTGGGAACAGTGGGACGGTGGTGGGGACAGTTGGGTCAGTGGGTGGGGAGAGTGGGATCGTGGTGGGGACGGTGGTGGGGACAGTGGGGACAGTGCGACAGTGGTGGGGGCACTGGCGGGGAAAGTGGGGACAGTTGTGGGGACAGTGGGGACAGTGGTGGGGACAGTGGGGACAGTGGGACAGTGGTGGGGACGGTGGTGGTGGGGACAGAGGTGAGGGGACACTGGGACAGTGGTGGGGACAGTGGGACAGTGGTGGGGACGGTGGTGGTAGGGACAGTGGTGAGGGCGGTGGTGAGGACGGTGGTGGGACAATGGGACAGTGTACAGTGGGGAGAGTGGTGGGGACAGTGGGGACAGTGGTACAGTGGTTGGAACAGCGGGACAGCACAGTGGGACAGCGGCGGGGATAGTGGGGACAGTGGGACAGTGGTGGGGACAGTGGGGACAGTGGGACGGTGGTGGGGACAGTGGGGACAGTGGGGAGAGCGGGATGGGGACAGTGGCCAGGGCAGTGAGGACAGTGCGACGGTGGTGAGGGCATTGGTGGGGACAGTGGTGACAGTGGTGGGAACAGTGGGGACAGTGGGACAGTGGTGGGGACGGTGGTGGTGAGGACAGTGGTGAGGGCGGTGGTGAGGACGGTGGTGGGGATCTGGGAGTCTTTTGCTTGCGGCGAGGGGGGGGGGTTCGAACCGGTAGTGACCCCCCAGGTTTTCTGGAGGGGGGGGTTGTCGAACCGGTAGAGCTCCCCCTCAGTTTTCCAGGAGGGGGGGGGGAGGGGTTCGAAACGGTAGTGGCCCCTCCCGGTTTTCCGGAGAAGGGGGGCGGTTTTGCCTGGGGAAGCTGGGGGGGGGACGGGGGTGGGGTTCGAGCAGGGGGGTGGGGATTTTCGGAAGGGAAGGGGACCCCCGGGTTCTGGAGGAAGAGGGGGGGAATTTTCCACAGTATAGCGACGGTGGATCACGCTCTCTCAAACATTGTCAGGATGGGCCCCGAGTGGGGTCTGTAGACCGGGCTTGGACCAGACTATGGTCCGCCGCGGATCGACTGGTGAGGCCCACTTGGGCGACGACTTCTGCGATAAGACGCAGGCCCCGTCGGCCACGCAGGGCAGCATTGACGACGCGAAGGGCGTCGTCCCTGGACCAGGAGCCAGTTTTTTCACCCTCCCGGCGTGACTGGCGCCACCAAGGGGGTGGGGGGCAGTGACGTGATGTTATTGCCCAGGGGATTGGGAATGGTCTGGGACTTGCGCCGAGTAGCGAGTGGCACGTGCGCCATGTGTCTGGCACGCAAGAAGAGGGGGAGAGGGGAGGAGGGAACGCGGAGCTGCTGGGAACAGGGGTGGGAGCGGTGCAGGCGGGCCGTGGCGGAGTGGGGGCGCCGAGCCGTGCGTGCGTGCGTGCGCGCGCGCGTGCGAGCGCGCGTGCGTGCGTGCGGAAGAAGGCATTCGGGGCAAGGGGGGGGGCGCGAGGCGGGGGGAAGCGGGGCCAGCTCGTCGGAGCGGAGGGGCGGCGCAGGGGCGGAGGGGGCACGGGGCTGCTGGGACTGAGGGGAGCGGGGCTGGCTGGTCGGGGCGGGGCAGGCGTCGTTGTGCCTTGCGTGCGTGCCTGCGGGATCCAAGTGCAGGAGCAGAGGGGCGCGGGGCTGCTGGGACTGAAAGAAGCTGGGCTGGCTGGTCGGGGCGAAGGGGAGGCGCCGTGCCGAGCGTGCGCTCGGAATATGGTGGCTGCGCCGTGCGTGCATGATAGCGTGCGTGTGGAACATTGAGTGGGTCGAGTAAGCGCGGGGCTGTTGGGAATGGAGTGAACGGGGTTGCGTGTCGGGGCGGAAGGGGGGCGCCGCGCCGCGCGTGCGCGCGGAATGAAGATGTCGGCGCGTTGTGAGCGGGGCGTTGCTGGTGGTTGTTGCGGATGGGGGGCGGGCTGGTCGGGGCGGAAGGGGGGCGCCGTGCGTGCGCGCGTGCGTGCGGAATGAGGATGCGTGGGCGGAGGGGGCGCGTGGCTGCTGGGATTGGGGGGACGAGTGGCGGGCAGGTCGGGGCGGAGGGGCTGCGGTGTGCCGGACTGTGCGTACGTGCGAAATACAAGAGTCGGGGCGAAGGGGTGCGCCGGGCTGCTGGGAGTGAAGGAAGCGGGGCTAACAGGTCGGGGCGTAGGGGGGGCGCGGCAAACGGGTCGGAATGGAGGGGAAACCATGTTGTGCGTACGTGTGTGCGGAATATGGAGATGGGGGTGGAAGGGGCGCGGGGCTGCTGGACATGAGAGAGACGTGGGGCTGGCGGGTCGGGGCGGAGGGGACATGCCGTACTGTGCGTGCTTGCGTGTGTGCTTGCGTGCGGAACGAAGAGGTCGGGGCGGTGGGGGCACGGGGCTGTTGGGAATGGGGGGCGGGTGGCGGGGCTGGCGGGTGGGGGTGGAAGGGACGTACTGCGCCGTGCGTGGGCGCGTGCGGAAAAAATCGTCGGGGCGGAGGGGGCGCGGGGTTGGTCGGAATGGGGGCAGCCTGAGGCGGAGGATTCGTGTTGTGTATGCACGCACAGTAAAGGAATGGGGGCGGAAGGGGTGCGAGGCCAGCGGGACTGGGGGAAGCGGGGCTGGCAGGTCGGGGGCGCAGGTCGTACAGGGGCGCAGGTTTGCTGGGACTGGTGCAAAAGAGGCGGAGGGGACAGGCGCCGTGCCGTGCGCGCGTGCGTGCGGAATAGAGAGGTGGGAGCTCGCAGACACAGGGTGCAGTGTAATAAAGGCGCGCGCTCCAGACTGGCTGGACGCGCGGATCGCACATACGTTCGTGGTGGAGAGGTTCTGGAACGACTCCCCGCGCGTCGTGGAGACGTCCCTGAAGGACGGCAGCCGTTTCCAGACGTTGGAGCCGCCGAGGATGCAGGACTCTCCTCGGGTCACTCCTCGTGGCACCCCTCGTGGCGGCGACGCCGACGACTGGGAGGCCGACGCGGGCGAGGGCTCGCACGACAGGCCGCAGGCCCCCTCGGCCACCTGCTCGAGCAGCGCGGCCGTGCCTGGCGGCCTGTTCCGAGGCCTGTCTGAGGCATGCCACGGCGCCGGCCCACCGAGCAGCGATAGACCGCAGGCCCTGTCGGCCACCCAGGGCAGCCCTGACGACGCAAAGCACGTCTTCCCTGTATCGGGGTGGCCGGACGCGTGGGCCTCGGAGACATTCGTGGTGGAGAGCTGCTGGAACGACTCTCCGCGCGTCGTGGAGACGATCCTGAAGGACGGCCGCCGGTTCCGGACCGTAGAGCCCCCGAATATGCAGGAGTTTCCTGGGGTCGCCCCTTGCTCCCGTGACGCCGACGCGGGCGATGGCTGTTGCGACCTGTCGACCGCCTGCTCGAGCAGCGCGCAGGTGCTGGGCGGGCGGCTCTCGCTCGAGGCGTTCCACGGCGCCGCCCCGCCCAGCGATGGGCCGCGGGCCCCGTCGGACACTGGCTCGAGCAGCGCGGCTGTGGCGGGTAGGCTGTTCTTGCCCGAGGCGTGCCACGGCGCCGCCCCCCCGAGCGGCGACAGGCCGCAGGCCTCGTTTTTCACCGGCTCGTGCCGCACAGCGGTGCTGGGCACGCGTTTCCGAGGCCTGCCCGAGACGTGCTGCTCCCCGAGCAGCGATAGGCGACGGGCGCCCCCGACCACCGCGTCGTCGAGCAGTGCGGCGACGCTCGCCATACCGTGCCCGATGCGCAGCAGCTCCCTCGGAGTCACAAAAATCACAGCTCGCCAGAGCACAGCTCGCCGCACGGCACCGCGCAAACACCGCTCGGTGGAGGTGGCGAGTTGAGACTGGCCTGTCCGCCATTCTGGGCGTGCCGGCCCAGCCGCCGTCGAGCGGCTGTTGGGCAGTGCGGCTGCCAGCCGCACGAGTGTGAGCACTGCTGGAGCCTCTCGGAGGTGATCGTGCTCGACGGCGCCGCGGGGCGGGCCGGCCCGCTCGGGTTTTTCCTGGGGCAGCGGCAGTTGGCCTTCGGGGGGCCCCTTCGTCGCCACGGCCGAGCGCAGCTCGGAAAGCTGGTGCGTTCGGACCCTGGGAGGTGTCAGTCAGGAGGGAGAAAAACACACAGACACAATTCATCGTCGATTCCCCAGAAAATATGGGAAAATGTGGGAAGTGGGGGGGAAGACAAAAACCCAGAACATGTGAGGAAATACGGGGAATCCTGTTTTTTGTGTCTACTTATTTGTGTGTCCTTGGGCCCCTTGAGTCAGTGGATCGATCTTGAGCTGCTGTTGTCTCAGCTCGCCCTGCCCTGAGCACCACGGCCGCGCAACACCTCGCAGCAGCGCGCGACACCGCGAACCACCGCGCCCTTCACCGAGGGCGGCGGTGAGCGGTGCTGCACGGTGCGGGCTTCCGAGTCCGACTCGGAAGCCCGCAGGTTGGGTGGAGGAATGCCTCCTGCAAGTTGGGTGTGGGAAGCGACTCAGTCGCTTCCCACACCCAGACATGCGATGGCTTGGTTCAAAAGGCTTGCGCCATTCCGCCGACCCTCTGGAGAGGAACCGTGCGGCCTCCGATCTCGTGTGCGCTGTTTGCCGCGTGCCGTCGTGCTGCCCGCGTGTAATTTGTTGGTTCTCGCACGTCCCCCTCGTCCTGTGCGTCTGCTGTGTTGGGGCTTCCTGGGGTGTCCTCTTGGAGGCCTCGGGAGCGGCTTTGTTGGAGCCTTTTCAGGGCTCCTGGGCGTTTTTGCGGGCCCTCTGGGGGCTTCTTGGGAACCTCTCGGGGGCCTCTTGGGCGCCTTGGGGGCCATCTTGTGGGGGATGGCCCCCAGGGCCCTCACGAGTTCCCCCTGTGGGGCCACCCCGGCCCCTCTCGAGGGCCTCCTTGGCCGTCCTGGGGGCCTCTTGGGCAATCTTGCGGCCTTCCTGGGCCATCTCTGGGCCCCCTTGGGCCTCTTTGGCCGTCTTGGGTCAGCCCGGGAGGCTTCTCGGCCGTCTCGGGCTCAGAACCCCTCTTCGCCTGGCGAGGGTCACGCATGCATCCCAAAGCCATGTGGGCAGTCAGTGACTCTTGCGTCTCCAGGCTGTCTTTGGGCGTCTTGTTGGGCGTCTTCCAGGCCTCTCGGGTCCTGGGCCGGCCTGCTTGGGTGTTCGAGAGGCCTCTCCGGCGCGGCGGAACCCTTCCCGAGGGCCTCGTGAGCGTTTTGGAGGCCGCGGTGGGTGGATCTGTAGGCTCCGAGGGCCGGGCAGGTGCGCCGGGGAGGTCGCACCCCTCTCAGGACAGGGGACCTCGGCGGCCTCCTCGGGGGACTCCTGGGTTGCTGCGCGAGCCGTCTCGGGGCTGTCGTGGGCTCCTCTTGGGGCCCTCTTGGGCCCCCCATCGGGACCCTCTTGTGTTGTCCGGGGCCCCCCTAGGGTTGTCTTGGGGCTCTCTTGGGCCGTCGTGGTGCCATCTCGGGCTCCTCTCGACCGTCTGGGGAGTCTCTTGGGGCTGTCTTGGGAGCCTCTCGGTGCCCTCGTCGGCTGGCTGTCCTGGGCTGTCTAGGGGCCCCCTTGGGCTGTCTGGGGGCCCTCGTGGCGAAGAGAACCCTGGGGGGGGCCCAGGACGACCCAACTGGACAGATGAGTCCACATGGTCCCACGGTGGCTTTTAAGGGATCTGCGAGGTTGTCCAGAGTATCTCCAAGATGATCCCAGAGGGCCCCATGACGGTTCCAGAGGCAACTAGGACGGTTCCAGATTGGCCCTCACGACGTCCTAGGACGCCCCCCCCCCAACAAAAACAGCACGGCCCCAAAGCAGCCAGACCAAATGGTTCTTTGCCGCATTCGCCCGAGAGGCTCTGCGGCGGTAGGGCCCAGAGGGTCCAAGATGCGGCCCACGGGACACCAGGTGTCCCACAAAGGAGCCAAGAGATCCCCAAGAGGACCCTGGACACGTCCTCTGACAAGACCCCTGGCACGTCCCCTGACTCGTCACCTGGGTCCCCCCCAGGCAACCCTCAGAGAGTCTTGAGAGGACTATACTGTGTGCTACATTACAAAGTTGTCCAATGTTAGCCAGCGTGAGCCCCAAACAGCGCGTTATTGCACTGGGGGTGGCAACTATGCGGTGTAAATTACGTGGCAGCTATGTGGTGTGATCTATGGGGTTGAGCACTACGCGGTGTGAACTATGTGAACTGGAGGAACCTCCGGTGTGTAAGATATGCGGTGGGAGCTGGAGTTACAAGCTTTGGCGTGCACGCTTTGTTGTGTACCCTGTGCGGCTCAAGCTGTATGGTCTAAACTATGCTATGTATGCTATGTTGTGAACACTATGCCATGTAAGCTCACGAGGCACCCATGAAACGGCACTGGCTGCAACGTGGCGCAACCTCGAAATACCCGCGAGGCGGCATGGGCGGCAACGTGGCGCAACAGTGACATACATGTGACATACACCAAAAGCGCGGGGCGCCCACGAGGCGGCATGGGCAGTAGCGTGGCGGAAACACCGCAAGGCTGCCAAGTAGGATCCCCTGCGCGCAAGCACTGTTTGGGGAATGTGTTTCAGTGTCCACCGCCACTGACACTAGAAGGAAGGCAAGAGGTGGACCTGGGTGCAAGGAGAGAAGCCTGATGATGATGCTGATGATGCTGCTGCTGATGCTGATGATGCTGATGATGACGATGATGATGCTGGTGGTGGTGCTGATGATGTTGCTGCTGATGATGCTGCTGATGATGCGGATGAGGATAAGCATGAGGAGGAGGAGGAGGAGGACGACGAAGACGATTACGATGACGATGACGGTGATGGCGATTATGATGATGATGCTGGCGATGATGATGCTGATGCTGATGATGCTGATGATGATGATGATGTTGATGATGTTGATGATGATGACGATGATGATATTGATAATAGTGATGATGATGTTGATGCTGTTGCTGCTGATGATGATGCTGCTGCTGATGATGCTGCCGATGATAATTATGATGATGATGCTGAGTACGATGATTATCATTATGATGCAGTTGTTTTCAGTGATGATGATGATGCTGCTGTGCTGAGGAGGATGGTGCTGATGCTGATGCTGATGCTGTTGATCATGATGATGATGACGATGCTGATGATGATGCTGATGATGCTGATGATGCTGCTGATGATGATGATGATGATGATGACGACTGGGGTTGTGGTGGTTTTGGTTGTGGTGATGCTGATGATGCTGCTGCTGATGACGATGCTGCTGGCGACGATGGTGATGATGATGACGATGCTGATCATGATGACGATGCTGCTGCTGCTGATGATGATGATGCTGATGGGGAGGAGACGGATGATGAGGAGGAGGAGGAGGAGATTGACGATGCGGATGAGGACGAGGGCGAGGACGAGGCCGATGATGATCAGGATGAGGACGAGTATTTGATGATGCTGACGATGATGATGCTGATGATGATGATGATGATGATGCTGATGGTGTTGATGATGCTGATGACGCTGATGTTGATGCTGATGATGCTGAGGATGATGACGATAACGATGACGATGACGATGACGATGACGATGATGATGATGATGATGATGATGATACTGCTGATGATGATGACGATGATTATGCTGCTGCTGATGATGATCATGCTGATGATTATGATGATGATGATGATGCTGGTGATGACGATGATGATGCTGATCATGATGACAATGACGATGATGATGATGATGATGATGATGATGATGATGATGATGATGATGATCATGCTGATGATTATGATGATGATGCTGGTGATGACGATGATGATGCTGATCATGATGACAATGACGATGACGATGATGATGATGATGATGATGATGATGATGATGATGATGGTGATGATGATGATGATGGTGACGATGATGATGATGATGATGATGATGATGATGATGATGATGATGATGATGATGATGATGATGATGATGAGGATGATGATGGTGATGCTGATGATGATGATGATGATGATCATCATCATGTGGTTTTGGTTAATGATGGGGAGGAGAAGGAGGAAGAGGTGGAGGAGGAGGAGGATGAAGAGGAGGACGAGGAGGTGGTTGAGGATGCGGATAAGGACGCCGGCGAGGACGAGGCCGATGATGATCAAGATGAGGACGAGGATTATGATGCTCATGCTGATGCTGATGCTGATGCTGATGATGCTATCATCATGACCATGTTCAGGATCTCGATGGTTATGATGGGGAGGCAGATGATGCTGATGCTAATGCTGCAGCTGAAGCTCCATCTGCTGCTGCTGCTGATGATGATGCTGATGATGATGGTGGTGGTGGTGATACTGATGCTGATGATGATGATGATGCTGATGATGATGGTGGTGGTGATGATGACGATGATGATGATGCTGATGCTGATGCTGATGATGATGATGACGATGATGCTGGTGATGATGATACTGATGATGATGATGCTGATGATGATGATGATGATGCTGATGATGCTGCTGCTGATGATGATGATGATGATGAGGATGATGATGATGATGATGAATCTGTGTTTTGTGCAAGAGAGTCCACGGCACAAATCCCCCCAAGCTGCGGGCAGACCTCTCGATCGAGACTCGCAATGCAAACGGCACAGCTTGCCTCAACCCAGACATCTTCGTCTTCCGATTGAACTCCATCGCGAAGGCGGAGCT